TATTTATTTATTTATTTATTTATTTGAAGAGGTTTTTGCTACAGGGCATGTGCACTTGCCAGAAAGAGAGAGAGAAACAGAGACAGAAAGTGAGAAATCACCCCCCCCATAGGGGATGGGCACACTGCAATCCCTTCCCCTCCATTTTCTTCTTGGGCTCTTGGGCATGCACGCACATGTGCCCCATGTAAGTTTAAGCCACTGGATCCAGGACTCGAACTGCAGTTGACTATATAGGAGTCCAGCGACATAGCCATTATGCCAACTGCTGGTCCTCCTATCTTCTCTTTATTGAATTGCTTTGGCATCGTTATTTGAATTGGTCATAAATGTAAGGGATTACTTCTGGATTCTCAATACTATTGTAATTATATATAGGTCTATCCTTACCTATAAACCTATATCACATCTTCTTCAGTACTGTGATTTAAAAAAATGCTTATTTATTTTATTTCTTTACATTCATTCACTGTACATCAATACAATATACAAAATGAGATTTTTCCATCCAGAAAACATTGTATATCATCTCAATCAAGGATATTACCATACATGTTATTGTCAACAAAGAATTTTCTATTTCTTGTTTCTAATACATTTTGCTTACCCCCCATCCCCCACCCCTGATTCCCTACCTCTCACCCTCTGCCAATTCCCCCCCTCCTCCCACACTATCTTTGGTATCTACAGTTGTCTTCATGTCTTTTTTTTTCTCACATTTTGTTGATTCACTAGAGATCTTAATTAATTTAAAAACTTTAAATAGCAAGCACAGCTGATATATACATATCTATGAACACATGTCTGACTTTAGGCATAAACTTCAGTGAGTAAAGTGAACATACTATAAAGTATCATCTAGTTGGGGCTGTATAGCTTACTGAAGTCATTAAATAGGTATTAATAGGTATTTTTTTGATACATTTTTTAATTTCAAGAAAAACAGTTTTAGTTTTAATAGATCAAAATAAAAAAATGTTAAGAGAAATTTGCTGAAAATTTAAAGCCAGGAAAACAGTTACGATTCAGTTCAAATAGTAGGTAGATGAACTTATCATCAGTTCAAAAGAAGACAAAAATCCTTAAATATGTGTCAGAGCAACGAAGAAAATCAGTAATGTTTTAGTCTAAAGTAAAAAAATTCTATTTCACTAGTTCAGTTTCATGTAATTAATCTCCCTTCTATTGAATTTGCAGTGTTATAAAGGTCTGATCTTTCCACTTCAACTCTGGAAGTTAATATTCAACTCTGGACTTGTCCCTACTATCAGGCTGGCCATTCTCTTGTTTGTTTTTGTGCTCTTATTTCTGTGTGTTCAACTTTAGTTTTCCAAGTATAGCCCACAATTTAGCACTTCTTGGAGAGCTGGTCTGGTATTGGTAAACTCTTTCAGGTTTTGTTTATCTGAGAATATATTTTTTTTTTCTCATATATCATATAATCTTGCTGGGTATAGTATATTCTTGGTTGAAATTGTTTTTCACTGAACACTTTGAATATAGTTTCCCATCCTTTCCTTGCTTGCAATGTTTCTGATGAGAGGTCCGACATAAGCCTGATGGAATATCCTTTGAAAGTAACTTGATGTTTCTCCCTTGCCAAATTTAGTATCTTGTCCCTGTCAGTGGTTTTGGTCAATCTGGCTATGATATGCCTTGGGGAAAATCTTCTTAGGTTGATTCTGTATGGGGTCCTTTGTATTTCTTGGGTCTGGATATTTGAAAGCCTCTCTAGGTTTGGAAAGTTTTCTTCCAGGATTTCATGGAATTAGATTATCAATGTCTTTATTAGTTTGTTTACCTTCTGGGATACTGATGATCCAGATATTTGGGCGTTTAATGGCATCTAGTACTATTTGTATGTTATTCTCATTTTTTTTGGTTATTTTCTCAATCTTTTTGGGGAACTTTTTTAGGTGAGAGGATTCTACCTTCTACATCTGAAAATATCTTAGATCTTAGATCTGTGTGATCTAATCTGCTTTTGACTTTTTTTGTTTTTTGCTATAGGGCATGTGTGCTTGCCAGAAAGAGAGAAACAGAGAGACAGAAAGTAAGAAATCACACCTCAGGGGGGATGGCCACGCCACAGTCCCTTCTCCATAATCCTCTTGGGATCTTGGGCACACAAGCACATGTGCCTGATGTGAGTTTAAGCCACTGGGTCTGGGACTTGAACCACAGTCAACTACATGGAAGTCCAGCAACATAGCCATTATGCCAACTGCTGGTCCCTGCTTTTGATATTTTCAAGGGAGGTTTTGATTTCCTGCATTATATAGCCTTCATCTCCAATAATTCCATTTAATTTTTTTTTTTTAAATGATGTGTATCTCCTCTTTCAGATTATGGCTGAATTTCCTCACCTCCTGGAACTTGTCTCTTTTCTCCTGCATTTTCTAAAGTTTGTTGTCTCTGTTAGCTTTGTCACTATGAATATTTAAATTTTTTAAAGAGGTTTTTGCCATAGGGCGTGTGCACTCGCCAGACAGACAGACAGAGACAGAGAGACAGAAAGCGAGAAATCACCCCCCCCGGGTGATGTCCATGCCGCAATCCCTTCTCCATTCTCTCGGGATCTTGGGCACGCACGCACATGCGCCCGGCGTTTTTTTTAAGCCATCGTGTCCCGGACGCGAACTGCGGTCGACTACGTGGGAGTCCAGCGACATAGCCATTACGCTAACTGCTGTTCCCAAATGTTTTAAATTCTTTATCTGGCATTTCTAGGATTTCTCTTTTATTGTCTGTGAAGGAAGAGGAGTTATTCTTTTCCCTTAGAGGAGAGATATTTTCTCGGTCTCTCACATTTCTTGTGCCTCTGTGGTGGTTTCTGGTCATTTGATGCGTTATAAGATTTTTCCTAGGTTTTGGAGTTAAATCTGAGCATTCAGAGGAATACAGGAGGAGGAGGTAACCTGTGATCTCTAAACAGTACCATTTTTCTCCCTTTGCACAGGCGATCCAATGGAAATTGAGGATTAATCCGACCCTAAAAGTATTCAGATATTAGGCTACTGAGTACCTAGACCTGTCTAGAAAATAAGTATGTGGAGGTTTGGCAGAAAAGTGAGAAACATAAAAACAAAAGGAAAAGGAAACAAAACAAAACAAAACAAAAACAAAAAAAGAGGAAAAAAGACAAAAACAATAAAAGAAAATAATTTTTCAAGCAAAAAATGAAAACTCCATGGGATGCTAGAGCGTTGCATAAATGGGGCGGCTCAGAACTCAGATATAGATGGCTGCTGATTGGCTTGTCCTGTGAAGGGGGTGGGGGAAGGTAAGAATTAACAAGACAAAAGAGTAGCAGAAAGCTAAGAAGTTTGAAAATTAAAAAAAAAAATTGAAAAATATATGTAGAGAGACAGGGAGAGGCAGAGAAACTACATCAGGTGCTCTAACCTGCCTCCTGGCTAGATCTGGGAGGCAGGAAGACAGTCCTCAGTGGTCCTAATCCCTGAATGGGGTGGCTCAGAACTCAGGTACAGATGGCTGCTAATTGGCTTGTCCTTTGGGGGCAGGGAGAAAGGTAAGAATTAGCAAGACAAAAGAGTGACAGAGAGCTAATAAGTTTAAAAATTAAAAAAAGAGAGTGAGAGAGAGAGATGGAGAGAGACATAGAGAATAACTACGGTGCTCTAACCTGGTTTCTGGTTAGATCTCGGGGATAGGAGGGTGAAGTCTGGGCAGAAGGTCTTCAGTGGTTCTAATCCCCCATTACTGTGATTTTGAAGTAAGCTGTAAAAACTCAGAGTATTAGTCTTCTAGTTCTGTTTTCTCAAGATCGTTCTGACTATTCTAGATTCTCTGTTTCCATATGAATTTTAGAATTTGCTTGCCACTGTCTGCAAAAAAGACAGCTAGTATTTGATTAGGTATTGCATTGAATTAGTCAATTTGGAAAATATTGCCATCATAACAATAGTAAGCCTTCTGATCCCTGTACATGAAATGTTCTATTTCTTTAGGGAATTAAATTTTTTTCAACATGTTTTGTAGCTTTCAGTATATAAGTCCTTAGGATTTTCTACATATAAGATCATGTTATTTTTCATAGAGATAATTCTACTTCTTCACATAGAGATCATTCTACTTCCCTCTTTCCAATCTGGGTGCTCTTTGTTTCTTTTTCTTGCTCAATTGTCTGACTAGATTGTACAGTATGTATATTGAATAGAACTGTTTAGAGTGGATATTCTTTTCTTGTTTCTGACCCTAGTGGTAAGTATTTAGTCTTTCACTATTAATTATGATGTATGCTCTGGACTTTTCATAGGTGTGCTTTATCATGTTAAGTAAGTTCTCTTCTATTTCTAGTTTGTCGAGTGTTTTTCTCATGAAAGGATGTTGGATTTTATCAAATGCTTTTTTTCTGTTTCTATTGATATGATCATGTTTTTCTCCTTGATTTTATTCACATCATGTATTACTTTGATTTTCTGAATTAAACCAACCTTGCTTTTCCACAATTTTTCTCTTTAGGATACATAATCTTTTTTTAAAGAATGTTTTTAATTGCCAGAGGGAATGTATCTTGTCAGAGACAGAGAGAGAGAGAGAAATCATCCCTTAATGGAGTGTGGTCATGCCCGAATCCTTCTCCTCCATTTCTTCACCTCATTGGGGTTTTGGACACAGATGTATATGTGCATGACATATTTTGTAAGCTACTGGGGTCATGATTTGAACCACAATTGGCCATGTAGGATCTGACTTCCTTATCTCCTAGGCTACATAATCAGCTCTATTTATAATTTCTTATATAATTTACTGGATTTGTTTTGTCAGTGTTTTCTTGATTTTTGTGTCAATGTTTGCAGGTTATATTGGTCTGTGATTTTCTGTTCGTATGATATCTTTGTCTTGTTTTGGTATCAGGGTAAACTGGCATCATACAGTGTTCTCTCACTTTCTAGTTTCTGGAAGAATTTACGATAGATTGGCATTATTTTTTATTTAGGACTAATACTATTTTAATTTTTGTTTTTGTCTTATAGGATTCTCCTTTTACAAATGCAGGAATGGGATCTAATCTAAATCTCTTAGGTGAAATTGAGTGTGATGCCAGCATAATGGATGGAAAATCCTTAAATTTTGGAGCAGTTGGAGCACTGAGTGGTATGTGGGTATTGTGACACACTATTCTTTGAGAAACTGCATATTACCATTCATGCTTTCTAAATACTTAGTCAAGTCTTTTTCACCATTCTTTCTTGAAATAGTGTTGAAACAAATGTTTTTCTTTATCAAATTTAAAACACAAAATCTTTGCTATGAATTTTTTTTTTTTTTTTTTTTTTTTTAAAAGCAGCCTATGTTCAAATTTTGGTTAGAATTTGATTATTCACATCTTTTGTATACTTTTATTAGATTGTCTTGTTGACTTATTGGAGTACTTTATATATATTTTTAGATACAAAGGTTTGTAAGATATCTATATCTATGTCTATAGATATACACACACACACACACACACACACGCATCTTATAGATATTTTTTCCCAGTCAGTGGCTTACTTTCTCTCTCTTTCTTTTTTAAGTTTGCTATAGAGCACATGAGCTCCCTGGAGAGAGACAGGGGGAGCGAGAGAGCAGGAAAGTGAGAAATCACCCCGAAGGAGGGATGGCCACACTGCAATCCTTTCTCTTTCATTGTCCTCTCAGAATTTTGGGCATGCACACACATATGCCTACTTGTTTTTCAAGGTACCAGGGCCAGAACTTGAACTGCATAGTCAAGGATGTGGAATTCACGGGCCTTAATCTCCATGCCACCTGCTTGCCCATGTTTTCACTCTCAATGCTGTTTTTCTGATGAACAGAAGTTTTTAATTTTAGTCAGCTTAAATTATCTACCTTTTCTTTTATGGTTAATTCTTTCTGTATTTTGAGGTGTTTTAATTTATCTAAAGAAATGACGATAGTCTACATTGTTTTATTTTAGTAATTTCCTTGTTTTTACTCTTCACATATAGTTTTCTTATCAAGCTAAGATTACTTTTAATAATGTGAATGGAGGGGGGTCAACATTTTAATTTTCTTCAGATGGATATCCAAATGGATCATTGTCCTTTGTTGAAAGGTCTGTCCTTTTGTCATACAGTTGCATTGGCTAATCAAGTTAACTTGTGTGTAATGTTTTTTTCTCTTCCCCATTTAGGTTAGTTTTATAAAATGAGTTGGGGACTTTTTCCCTCTATTTTTGTAGGGTTTGTGTATCTTTGGAATAACTTCTTTTATGTTGGAATTCATTACTTTTTCCAAATTAGCCATTTTTGTGTGTGTGGGAAATTTAAAAGATAGGATTCAATATTTTTATCATTTATAAGATTATATTTTCTTTTTTCATGTGTGATATTTAAGAAATTTGTCTGTCCCATAAAGTTGTAAATTTATTTGCCTAAGGATAGTTTAGTTAGCTTTCTTTATTAATTTTTACAATACTTGATCCAGTGTGGTCAGGGAATATATTGTATATGATTCCAAGCCCTCGAAGTTTTTTGAGACTTGCTCTAAGGTATGTTTTGCTAAATATTCTATGTAATCTTCAAAGAGGATGACTCTAAAATGTCATTTTATCTCTTTCACTCTGAGAGGACGGCATCACTTTTTGTAAAATGTTAGTTTACATTGTCTTTAAGAGAGCACCGACATGGGAAATAAAAGGAAAGTAAAAAATTGGTTAATACCTGAAATCTACTAACCCTATATGATGATGCATATTAAGTTCCCCAAGCACTTTGTAATCAGTGTTGCTTTGAATACTATTGTCAGTTGTGGTGCTAATATTATCACCATTACTTACTTTTTTATTAGATAGGAAATCAGTATTATAACATGGAAGTTAAAATAAAAAACTCTGAAAATGTACTTGTTTATTCTCTTAACTATTGAATTCATTCCCCAAAGGAGATACTGTGTGCTATGCTTTGCTTTGCTCTTGTCTTGTCTTTTCTTTTCTTTTTTTCTTTCTTTCTTTCTTTCTTTCTTTCTTTCTTTCTTTCTTTCTTTCTTTCTTTCTTTCTTTCTTTCTTTCTTTCTTTCTTTCTTTCTTTCTTTCTTTCTTTCTTTCTTTCTTTCTTTCTTTCTTTCTTTCTTTCTTTCTTTCTTTCTTTCTTTCTTTCTTTTTCTTTCTTTTTTAAAGTTTCTTTCTTCTATGAATGAGAGAGACAAAGAGAAGAGACACAGATACCCCCAACAGAGTACTCATGTTGCTACCCTTGCTCAGCTTCAGCCTAGTCCCAGATCATGGTATTGTGTCTAGGGTATTCAGAGAGGTTTGAGAAATAAAACCAGAACCTTCCAATGCAGGTCAGCCTTGCATAATCATGGGCCACCATTTAGCTCCTAGAGTGTGTTCTTAAACCTGTAGCTGAAAACAACAAAAAACAAAAAAGAGTGAGAGAAATGTGCTTAGAATAAAAAGAATGTGTATTCTGTAGTTGTTGGGTGCAGTGCTCTCTATATGTCAGGTCAATTTGATTGTCTAATCCTGTGGGACACAAACAAACTCAGCTGATAGATGGACACACAGAGGTCAAGAGGCTGTGAGAATTAAACTTTCATTGTCCAGGGTAAAGACTGGGGTTCTAGCTCACTGGACTGCCATTCCTATGTTGGTTATATGTGCCTCTGGGGCTAAGGAGAGGGAGCAGAGGTCAGGGACCTGGATTGGGGTGCAGTCTTGTTCTTCCTGGGGCTCTCAACAATAGTGCTGTGACCTCAGTCAGGAACCAGGGAAGACTTGTGGTGGCCAAATGCTAGAGGACGCTTTATCCCGTGGGCACAGGAGAATACCCTATGGGCCAAATAGTGGAGACTAAATTGTGCTCTCTAGGAGCCTGGCAAGCACAAGCCACCCTTTCTTCCTGCAGTGTGTCTCTAGTGCCCTCTACTGACAAAACTCACTATTGTGCCAGCTAGCAAAGGAAACATGCTTATCTTTAAATAGCCCATAACTATTTTCACACATCAGGCAACAGTGGGTGAATTCATAGCTGAGAAGCAATAGAGAGACAGCTATTACAGTGTGTAAATCATCAATAAATAAAGTTTATTCCATGTGTGAGAGAGACAGAGAAAGAGACTGAGACAGAGATACAGTACCCCCTGACAGGGGCACTGCACACTGCTTCAGTCCACCCCCATATTCTCAGCTTCATCCAGTCTGGATTATTAATACACACATCCCTGGTACATTCTAGGAGGTCTCCAGATGTGAACTGGCGACCTTTTCACATGGGTCAGCTTTGCAGAGCATATTACTTTACTGCTACACTACTGATGGGCCCCGATAAACTATGTAAAGTAGTCTGGTGCCTCTGCTTTTCCCTCTTAAGTTCTTTTTAGTGTGTGTGTGTGTGTGTGTGTGTGTGTGTGTGTGTGTGTGTGTGTGTGTGTGTGTGTATATGTGTGTGTGTGTTGTATCTTTCTAGTCTGTTCCTGATTTGAAGTTCTGTCTCTATTACATATTAAATATCCCAATTCACATGTGTTTATATCTGAACATTAGCTTTATTCTATTCTATTGATATATTTATTTTGTGCTGAAACCCAGCTCTTTTAATTAGAATTGCTTTCAATAAGAAATGGTAGGGCCAGCAGGTGGTGTGGTGGTTAAGGCACTGGACACTCGACCATGATCAACCTTTGTCAAGTCCTAGACCTGTTGACTTGCTTTCTCAGTCCTCCTCCCCTACCCCTGCCCCGTCAAATTAAAATAAATCAATGAATAAATAAATTAAATAAATAATTCTTTTTTTCCCCTTTTTTTTTTTTTTGGGTGAAAAATTGCTATAGGGTGCGTGCACTCGCTGGACAGACAGAGAGAGACATAGAGACAGAAAGCGAGAAATCACCCCCCAGGGGGAATGGTCACGCCACAATCCCTTCTCCTCCATTCTCCTCTCGGGATCTTGGCACTCAAGCACACGTGCCTGGCGTGAGTTCTAAGCCACTGGGTCCGGGACACGAACCGCGGTCGACTATGTGGGAATCCAGCGACATAGCCATTATGCTAACTGCTGGTTCCCAATAATTTTTTAAAAAAAAGAAATGGTATTTTTTTTTTTTTTTAGAGATTTTTGCTATAAGATGTGTGCACTTACCATAAAGAGAGAGAGACAGAGAGATAGAAAGGGTGGATGGCCACATCACAGTCCCTCCTCCCAATCCCTTCTCCATTCTCCTCTCGGGATCTTGGGCATGCACGCACACGCGCCTGGCGTGAGTTTTAAGCCACCAGGGCCGGGACGCGAACCGTGGTTGACTGCATGAGAGTCCAGCGACATAGCCATTACACCAACTTCTGGTCCCAAGAAATTGTATTAAAGTTTCTTTTTCTTGATTAACTTTAGAGTCTGCTTGTCATATATCATAGGTATCCATTTGAAGTTTTGATTGAGAATTTATAATTTTAAATTCATAAGTTCATTGGGTAATTATTAATATCTTTATAATATTAAATTATTACACCCATAAATATATTATGTTTTTAGAACTAGTATGGAGATCTCATCTGGGCTTTCTCTTTATTTTGGTTTCTCATACTTTTTTGTGTGGTAGAAGTTTTTGGTACCTAGCTAAATTTTTTTCTTTTTTTTTTTGTTTAAGAATTATTCATTTTACTTTACTCATTATTATGTATCTATGTAGGCTTTTTGCAAATACTGTGCCATTTTATATAAGAGACTTGAACATTTGCAAATTTTGGTATGGGGGGATCCTGGAACCAATCCCCTGTGGATACTGAGAGACAACTGTACTAAGTTACTTTCATTGCCTTCTGTGCTCATTTTATCATCATCATTTGTCATTGTCATCCTAACAAATACTGTCTTACTGTTCCTTTCAGCTAAGCTTCATCTCACTTTTACATACCATTTTGCCTTCTGGAAATAGTTCAAACCACATTTATATAATTATAATTTTGTCCATACTTGACCTTTTCTTTCTACCCTTACCCATTTTTTAAAAGTTTATTACCATCATGAAAGTGAAAGATCAAGATAGAGATGGAGACAAGGCAGGTGGGGGACAGATAGAGAGAAAACAGACAGGCAAGCACCCTCAATAGGGTTTCATGCTACAGTCCTCCCAAACTTCCTAGATAGTTAGAATTATGGACTGTGTACCTGGTGTACACAGATTGGCTGGTGAATAGAGCCTATGATCTTCCAGGTGGATCTGACATCTCTTGAGGTGCATTACTGCTATACCGCCGTTACCCAACTTTCTCCTTTCTTTTATAGGTGAAATCGAAAATTTTTGGCTTATCTTTTCCATTTTTTTTTCTCTAAGGTAAATTTAAAGATGTTTATAATCATGTTTATTCTTTAAAGGAAATTCATGGTTTTGTGGTCAATAAAAACCTGGAGTATATATTTAGTTTTGATAGTAGAATAGTACCATAGTCTGGGTTCATTTTTTTATACTCTTTTGAAATCTATTAAAAAAGAACTGAATTTAAATATATAGAGTGTTTCAAGGCTCTCTTTGCTGCTGTAGCATGTGATAAAACATAAGGATATATGTTATATATTTGTTCTTTTCTTGCACCTGCTAGATACTCATGTATGTTTTGTTTGACTCTTTTTTCATGATAATTAAGGGTTTCCTTGGTAAATTTGATACCTTGAAAAAGAAGAATTTACAAGATATTTTAAAGTTGCTTTTTATTAAAGCAACCACAAAACTGAGAGAGAAACTCGAAGACTTTTCTAACTTCTTTTTCTGCCAACTTCATTTTATAGGAATCAAGAATCCAGTCTCAGTTGCGAACAGACTCTTGTGTGAAGGGCAGAAGGGCAAACTCTCCGCTGGCAGAATTCCTCCTTGGTAAGCACTTTGTTCTTGGTCTTTGTTTTTTCAGGGCATTTGAAGGCTATTTTTATCCACAGAATGCTGATGCTGTTGGTTACACACCGGCAATAACGTGCCTTTGAGAGGAAGACACACTTTGTTCTGTGATCTTGGAACATCTTGTTCAGTTGATAAAACTCCAAATGGAATAGAATATGATGGATTAGAGTAGAAAGGAGATCAGAGTTAATTTTTGGTTTTATAGTTGATAGTAAAGATGTTTTTGCTATTACTAAGTGTTTAATTTGGATCATTTTATTATGCAACTTGAAAAGTATCTAACACATTGGAGTTTGGAGCCTAAAGTAATTTTTAATTTTGAGGAGGTTCTTAGAATAAAAATATGTGGAACATTGTAAATAGACCTGACAAACCTGTCATCCAGTTCCAATAATTAAGAATATTTTGTCCATCTATCTCATGCATCTTGATTTTGTTTCTGTAGTATTTATTTTATTTATTTTTAAGGTTTTTGCCATTGGGCATGTGAACTCATTGGATAGAGACAGAGAGACCCAGAGAGAGGAAAGTGAAAAATCATCCCCCAGGGATATGGCCAGGCTACAATCTATTTTCTTCCATTCTCCTCCTGGAATTTTGGGCACACATGCACCTAGCATGATTTTCAAACCACTGGGTCCAGGACTTGAACTGCCATCGGCCATGTGGGAGTCCAATGCCTTAACCACTGTGTCACCTACTGTAGTATTTTAAAGCAAATCCCCAACATCATATTTTACTGTTAAATAGTTTTATAACTATCTCTATGTTTGAGCATGTGTGCACATGTGCCCAGTGTTTGTTTTGTTTTGTTTAAAATCTATTTATTGAGAGAGAGTGAAAAAGAGAGAGAGAAAGAGGGAAAGCAGGGAGAGAGAATGAAAGACAAGTATTTTCGACAGTTTCACTACACTGTGAAATTCTCCCTAGCCTTCTGACCAGCCAGGATAATAGACATGTGTGGTTACATCTGACTTGTTCAGGTCAACCCAGGATCTGAACCTGGTCCTCCTGTGTGGCTTAGTAACATGTAGTGGCATCCTACTGCTTTCACCACCATGACTGAATTATCAGTCAGATTTTTGGAGATAATTTCTAATATGTATTTGGTTGATATCAATAAATTTTCTTATAACTCTGAAAGTGGTAAAACTGATTTAAAAATTCTCACAGGAGAATTCTAGCTATTTTACAACTGCAAAAACCATTATCAGAATTAAAAGAAAATGATTTTTGGAACTGAAAAAAATTATTAGCAACATGTATATCAAACAAAAGATTAATATATAGAATATTTAAGAACAATAAATAATGAGAAAAAGATGACTCAAATTTAAAAAATTGGTAAAGAATACAAATAGGCAGTTTATGAAAACAAAAATATTGATGGCATATAAATATATGAAAAGTTGCCTAATCATAATATTGATTAAGGAGTTGTATATTAAAATAACAAGTTGATATTTTTACTGTATTAAAGTACCAAAATTTAAAAAGACTAATAATATTTAATATTTTTGAGAGTGTAGAAAAACAGATTCTTTGCTAGTGTTTGGAACATAAACTAATATAGCTAGTTGAGAGATATTTTGGTATTTATTACTGTGAAAATTGAAAATGCACCTGTTGGGGTCAATAGATGGGCCAATAGATGGTTAAGGTGCTGCACTTCCATATGGCTGACCATAGTTTGAGTCCTGGTGGCTTGAAAATCAGGCTGAGCCACATGTGCATGTATGCCCAAAATCCTGAGAGGAGACTGGAGGAGAAGTGATTGTGGGGTGGCCATCCCTGGACAGCAATTTCTCACTTTCACTCTCTCTTTGTCTCCAACAAGTGCCCATCACCTATGGAAACACCCCCCGCAAAAAACAAAAAACAAAAAACAAAAACTGTCAAACAAACAAACATGCACATGTTATGTGCTCTGCCAATTCTGTCTGAGGAAAAAACAGCTTCTCAACAGTTTCTCATGTTCTCAGGAAGGCTCCCCTCCTTCCCACCAAAAATTAATGAATGAATGAATGATTTTTAAAAATTTGATGAGAGAGAGAGAGAAAGAGAAAGAGAGAGATAGAGCAAGTCTTCAGGTTTGAGACTTGAACCAGGGTCAGTCATGTGGGAGTCTAGCATCCCAACCACCATGTAACCTCCTTACCCTACTCAGGAAGGCTATTATAGCATAGGAAGGTCATAGCAATGTTGCTTATGGGGTATAAACTGAAAACAATCTGAATGTCTGTTAGTGGCTAAATTGTTTCCTTGTCATTTTATTAAATACCTTTTGGCATGAAAAAGAAGGAGAGAACCATTCGCACGTAGTAGCATGGATTACTTTAGGTGGTAATCTACTTGGATTGCTATAAGAAAATACCATTGATAAGGTGGCTTAAATAGCAGAGATTTCTTTCTTTTTTAGTTAGTTAGTTTGTTTATTTATTTATTTATGCCATAGGGTAAGCGCACTTGCTGAAGAGAGATAGAGACAGTGAGAGAGAAAATGAAAAATCTCCCCCCGGGGGAGATGGCCATGCTACAATCTACCAGGGGGGATGGCCATGCGACAATCTGTTCTCCTCCATTCTCCTCTCAGGATTTTGGGCATGCATTCATAAGCACATGGCAAGATTTTCAACCTGTTGTATACAGATTTGTACAGTGGTCAGCCATGTGGGAGTCCAGTGTCTTAACCACTAAACCACCTGCTGGCCCCAGAGATTTATTTCTTAAAGTTTTGAAGATTGGGAAGTCCATGGTCAAGGTTCTAGCTTGTTTGGTTTCTGGTCTCCCTAGTTTGCACATGGTCACCTTCTCACTTGCTTATTGGAGGTAAAGGAAGGGAGAGTCTGAGCTGGAGAGGGAGAGGGAGAGAGGGAGGGAGAGGAGAGAAGAAGAGAGAGAGGGGGAGTATATTTCCCTCTTCTTATAAAGACATTAATCCTACTACTAGTGCTCTATCTCTTGAGTGACTTTATCTAAACACAAGGACATTCCAAAGGCCCCAGCCCCAAATATCATCACATTAGTGGCTAGGGCTTCAATATTTAAATCTTTGGATGGACACTATTTCGTTTATAGCAATACATCTTCATATTACAGAGTAAAAAATTAAGTTGCTGATGATCCGCTCAGTTTTTAACTTAGGTTTTCTTTAAAATGATACAGAGTAATATCATGGACTCCTGTTTCCCACTACCAGGTTAGGAAATAAGACACTGAAAGATTTGAAGCTGCTTAGGTTGAAACCTTTCTAGTGGAATCTTCATCTTTTCCACTGTCCCACATCCTTACCCTGACCTTATCTCTGCCCCATGCCTAGGTAACAATTGTCCTGAATTTAAGCTCCATTTCTCATTCCCATATTTTCCTTCATACTGCCACAACATATACAATACTCTAATTTTCTAAGACTATGTAAATATGTACATAGTCATACAAAAATGATTTGGAGAGATTACCAAACTCACTATGATAACCTTAGGGGAAGAAAGAAGGACCAAGATGAGGCAATTGTTGAAGAGAACAAGTGTAATATTTTCACATTTTTCAAGAAGAAAATATATGGAAAAAAAGGTAATGGGTACCTCTTCATTAAAATGATCACATATTTATAATATGCTACACCTGTCTGTAATTGGCTATTTTATTTTTCTCACATACATAGTTTTGTTTTCAAAACTGCCTTAATATTTTAGGTATGCTATATTTTCATATGAAATTTAGATTTTGTTCACTTCTATAAATAGTATGCTAGAATTTTGATTAGGATTCAAATATATGCTTTTGGTAAAGTCTTCTTTAACCTCGCTAAACATTGTCTTATAGCATTTAGGGTATATGTCATGCATGACTTTTATCATATTTATACCTAGGTATTTCATCCTTTTTCAGTGCTGTGCTAAATGGTGTACACACACACACACACACACACACACACACACAAACGCACGCTACCACGCACACTTTAGTTTTTTTCCCATAGGGCGCATGTGCTTGCTGGAGAAAGACAGAAAATGAGGAATCACTTGTCCCGCCCAGGGGAGATGACCATACCACAATCCCTTCTCTTCCATTCTCTCAGGATTTTAGGCACATATGCATGTAATTTTTAAGCCCTGGGTCTGAGAATCAAACTGTGGTTGGCCATGTGGCAGTCCAGCTCCTTAACTGCCATGACACCTGTTGACCCAGCTAAATGATATACTTAAAAAATATTAATTTTGGGACCATCAGTTAGTGTAATGGCTATGTTGCTGAACTCCCTTGTAGTCGACTGTAGTTTGAGTCCTGGACCCGGTGGCTTAAACTCACGCTGTGCGCATGTGCGTGTATGCCCAAGGTCCCGAGAGGAGAATGGAGAAGGGATTGTAGCATGGCCATCCTCCCTGGAGGTTGATTTCTTGCTTTCTATCTCTCTGTCTGTCTCTGTCTTTCTGGTGAGCGCATGCACCCTATAGCAAAAACCTCTCCCCCCCAAAATTAATTTCCAATTGTTTATTGTTAGTATATGGAAATATGATTTATTTTTATTGTACTGATACTATATTTTGAAAATTTCCTAATTTCATTTGTTCTAGTATAATTTTTTATATTCCATAAGGTTTGATTTTTTAAAGAATTATTTATTTATTTAATTCTATTTGTTATTATTATTTTCAATTTGACCAGAGAGAGAGAGAGAGAGAAAGGGAAGGAGAGAAAGCAAGCCGCCAGGTCCAAGACTTGAACCGCTGTCAGCCATGTGAGAATGTCATGTCTCCTAGAAATGAAGATAGTTTTACTTATTTCTTTCTAATCTGGCTATCTTGTACTTATTTATTTATTTATTTGTTTATTTATTAATAGCGACAGGGCATGTAAGCTTGTCAGCGAGAGACAGAGAAACAGAGAAAGGAGGAAAGTGGGCATATCGCAATCTGTCACCTCTATTTTCCTCTTTGGATTTTGGGCCTGCACTCACACTTGTCCAGCATGTC